CGCTGCAAGTCTCACCAAAACCACATGAGACTCTTGGGCAAATAAACTTTCAGCATGTAGGATGGAAGAGATGTAAAGCTGGCTGAGAGCATAGGATATATATATATATTCGTGCTGTCAAACGATTAATCGCGATTAATCACATCCAAAATAAAAGTTTTTGTTTACATAATATATGTATGGGTACTGTGTTTATTTATTATGTATATATAAATACACACACATTCAGTATATATTTTGAAAATATTTACATGTATATACATTTATATATCTATATTATTATATTTTATATTATATATAAATATAGTTAATATATAAACATAACATATTTTTCTTAAATATATACATGCATGTGTTTGTATTTATATATACATAATAAATATACACAGTTCCCATACATATATTATGTAAACAAAAACTTTTATTTTAAATCATTTGACAATGAGTCAGACTAACTGAAATAAGCCTGGCTTATTTGGTTAACTTGTTTTATGAAACAGGCCTCGAGGCATTAAAAGTGATCATATTTTCTCCATTGCATCATATTGTATTGAATCGCATTGTGTTGAATCGAATCGAATCGAAATCGGATCGCGCTGCATCGTAATCATCCCTGATATACTGTATATATATATACAAAAGCTCCACATGAAACTATATTAATATGAGTTTCCTTGAAGCACAGCCTCTGCAACATTTTTCATGCTTTTTTTTAATAGAAATGAGTTTTTCATGGCTGTACTGTGACTTCACTAGCTGCGTTTACATGGACCCTACATGGTTTACATGGACCCATGGTGAGATAAACTCTGAATAGTCAGCGGCCTCTCTTCCTCCGTCTTACCTCGTGTCATTCATTCAATCCGTCTTGCAGCAATTACATTCTCACCTCCCCATATGCAAGTGAGAATGACGAGCGGCCGTCCAGCGCATTGTGAGAAACTATAATGCAACTGTACATAATAGGAATTGTGTTTCACTTGGAGATGAGAATGAACTGCTGAAGTGAGTGTATGCATCAACCCCCCTTTTTGCTCATGCCACCTATTGATTTTTATTTTTTCATTTAATTATTTATTTATTTTACCTCTGAGGCAAACGGGATTATTACCAGTGAAATAACTCCATTTGCCTGTGCGGTTACTGTTGGAAGGGTTTGCCGAATTTATAAATCACATTGTAAATGCAGTATAAATGATAAATTCTTCACTATTGTATAATGTTTTAATATTGATTTTTAGCAAAAAACGTTCTCTGTTTCTCTCGAATGCCACAAATCCTAACTTATCTTTGTATTTTGCCTCACAATCGATGACTGAACTACAAACAGGGCTGTTTGTTCTTGGTCGTCAGATTTTCTTTAAGGATTATGGGATTTTTAAGTTTGGAAGACTTTCATCTGTATCACTGTACTAATCTTGGCTTAGTTTGGGATGAAATACTGGTCAATACTGCCTAGTGTGCAGTAAAAATGCCTATTTTGCCTACTTTTTTTAATATTAGAATAGTGAGGTAGATATGGGGGGGGGCGTGGCAGAGTCTTAACTTTGATAAAGAATATCTCTTTGGTTTTGAGACTTTAGTCTTTGCAACTTCAGGGATCTTATCTATGCACAATCAGCTTGTAACACTCCAAAGAGAAAGGAAAACTTGAAATCGCATCATATGACCCCTTTAAAAGTTATACATTACTATTCAACAGTTTGGAGTCAGTAAGATGTTTTTTTAATGTATTTCAAAGAATAAATTCTGCTTACTAAAACAGCATTTTTTTATACAGTAAAAAGCAGTAATATTGCGAAATATGTTTGCAAATTAAAATTTTAGTGATTTCAAAAATGTCATTTTTTTATTTTAATATATTTTAAAATGTAATTTATTGCTGTGATGCAAAGCTGAATTTTCAGCATCATTACTCCACTCTTCAGTGTCACATGATCCTTCAGAAATCATTTTGATATGCTAATTTAGTGATCAAGAAACATTTCTAATTATCAGTGTTGAAAACCATTTTTTTGTAAACCATGCTACATTTTTTCATGATTCTTTGATGAATAGAAAGTTCAAGAGAACAGTAACAATTTAAAAGTATTTAATGTCACTTTTGCCCAATTTAATGCATCCCTGCCAAATAAAAGTAATAATAATTAAAAAAAAAAAACATTTTAAATGGTACACACAACCTCTTACAACCGTAATTTTTTTTGGTTAAAAATGATCCGAAATCAATATTTGAGCAAGTACATAACCAGCCAGTGTTCAAAACTATCGCCTTATTTTAGTTATCTTATAATAATGTTTTCTAATTTGAGTGATACGGGTAGGTTTTCGCGGGATATTTGAGCATGGCACTGCGTCATTACGTCACGTCTGTAAACATAAAGAAGTTGTCCCGGCTTATAGGCTATCGCATGTGCAGATCCTGCAGGTGGCCGATCGTTTATAGCCTTTTCTCACAGCAGCTGGGATAATTAAATGTATAATTTTGATGGCGTGATGTAGTTAACATTAACAATTTGAGAATAAAGTATAACAATAATAATTTGAACGGTTTGATGTGATATGAGCTAACCGATCTTTAGATTTAATCACCATTGGTAGCGAGATTTATGGTAATGCTTTTTTCCTCAGTTGGTCAGAACAAACGTGGCAGACTTGTTACTTGTTCAGATGACAATATACGGTGAAAATTCTTATTTGAGTCATATATTCCAAGACGTAGGCTAAAATCTGTGAGTGCAAAGTACAATATTCACACCGATGCGGTGACTGACTGCCACACACACACACATACTCTTCAGAACATTAGATTCATCCGCGCTGGAGCCGTGCCGACTCACAACCCATGCAAGCTAGATAATTCCACTAACAGCTGCAATTCCAGGTTTTCAAACAGAGATGGCGACAAAAGAGGCAAAACTTACGGACTGCAGCTTTAATTTTGTATAAACATTTTAATTTCACAGTTTGATGGATTGAGTCTAGAAAAAGATGTTTCTTCTGGTTCATTCGTCATCATGTTGCATATTCATTCAGCAAGTAAACTCAAGTTATGTTTAAAATTAATACATTTATTTAGTGTTTTATTATATGGAAAAAAATAGTTTTTTCATAGTTCAATTTAATAAATTAATATAATTATATATATATTGTAGGGCTATTAAATCGGCTAATTGCAATTAATCGCATCCAAAATAATAGTTTACATAATATGTGTGAACATGTATGTGTGTGTATTTATGTTATACATGAATATATATATATATATATATATATATATATATACATGTAACTATTTCTTAAATATACACATGTGTGTGTGTGTGTGTGTGTGTATCTATATATATATATATACACACACACACACATAAATATATACAGTACACGCACATATATTATGTAAACACAATCTTTTATTTTGGATGTGATTAATCGATTTCACAGCCCTAATATATTCACATAATTTGATAAATAAGCAATAAAAAATTTAATTTAAATTCTAAAAATTTCTTCTGGTTCAGTCCTCGTAAGTAAAATGAAATCTTTTGTGCTCTGTTGAATACTGCATATTGGCTGAACAAAGTAGGCCTAGTTCATTTGAATATTATTCCAAGTAATATTAAAAATTTATATTTTTATTTTTAAGAAGAAATGGTAGTAGCCTCTTTATTAGTAAATTCTTTTTTCTTTTTTTTTCTTTTTTTTTGCAGTATTTTGAAATATGATATGATTATTTCAAGTTAAAGTTCATTTATAAACAGTGTTGGGCAGTAACGCATTACTTAGTAACGCGTTACTGTAATTTGATTACTTTTTTAGTAACGGAGTAATTTAAGGCGTTATAATTTTCAAAATATAACGGGAGAATAAAATGATTCACGGGACACCCGCACATTATGCATATATTTATTGTGTTATAACAGAGATTTGTGAGATTATAAATGCAGGGCTCTTTGCTGGCATTCTGCCATACTAAACCATGCACGCCACAGCCGCTTGCTTTAGTTAAAAATAAGTGTTCTGTAAATGTTGATGCTTTAACTCTTTCCCCGCCATTGGCGAGTTATCTCGTCTTTTAGAAGACAACGCTTCCCCGCGCGGCAAAGACGAGTTTTTACATTTTTTCGTGTTTTCACTGTTATACACTAGGGGGCGCTATTACACACCTTCTGAACGAGTACAAAACCTCCCGAGCAAAAACACATGTGTACATTTTGATAAAAATGTGATATTCTCACCTTTTTGCTTAACATTATATTTTTTTTTACGAAACCTACCTATATTGAAGTGTTGATAAAAAAAGAATGCTTTAAGCTAGAATAAAACTGATTTTTTTGTTTAAAAGTAGAGGCTCTGATCTTTATTTTGTGTATTGCATATTCAAATATTCATACAGCAACATATTCTGGAGGCCATCAAATTTTAGTGAAAATCATCAAAATCGCTGGCGGTGGCTGGCAACTTTTTAAAAAAATGCTGGCGGGGAAAGAGTTAATAACAAATATTTATCGGGAGCGTGTATGCTGGGATTTCATAAATTTCATGGAGAAAAAAGTAACGTAACTAGTAATGTAACTAATTACTAATTACTTTTGAAATAAAATAACCAGAACAGTAACGTGATTACTTTTAAAAGGAGTAATCAGTAATCAGTAATTTGATTACATTTTCAGAGTAACTTGTCCAACACTGTTTATAAAGCACATTTAAAAACAACAAATGTTGTACCAAAGTGCTGTACAATTAGGAAATACAGTAAAGGAAGCAAAAAACTGAATTAAATAGAATAGCAAAATAAAATAAAAAATCATGCAAATAAAAAACCCCTAAACATCTCAAGCAACACAATAAGCTGAAGAGAAACCTTACTGTATACAACTGAAATCAGAAGGAAATTAACCTTCTGAATGAAATTGAGACACTATGATATACACTTCAACAAAATGCTCAAGACTAGTCGTGAATCTGATCAGTTTTGTCATTTCTTTCTCTGTTCTCAGGCACGGTGAGCTGTGATACAGTGGTGAACATGCGTAAGGTGACTCACCAGCGGGTTCAGGAGCCTCTGTCAGGTACGGCCCTCCTGCCGTGTGTTTTCACCCTGCGCCCGAGTCCTTCGAACGAACCCCCTCGCATCAAGTGGACCAAACTGTGGGGTCAACGCGGCCCGGACGGCCTACAGAAGCAGCAGTCGATTCTGGTGGCTAAAGACAATATAATCAAGGTGAAGAAAGCCTTCCAGGGCCGCGTGACCTTGCCGGGATACCCGGAGAACCGATACAACGCCAGCCTGGTGCTGACAGGCCTGCGATCCAGCGACTCGGGGATGTACCGCTGTGAGGTCGTGGTCGGCATTAACGACGAACAAGATACAGTGCCCCTTCAGGTCACGGGTAATGTAGCGCACTGCAGAATGCTAATACACGCAGCTGTGATTATAGAAATCAGATTCATCATAAAGCTACTGCTGACTTCTTTCGTCTTAAAGGGATAGTTGTTCCAAACCTGTATGAGTTTCTTTCTTCTGTTGAACACAAAAGAAGGTATTATGAAGAGCTGAAAAGTTGATGGTCCCCCCTGACTTCCGTAGTATGGGGGGAAAAAAATACTATGGAAGTCAATGGGGACCAAAAATTGTTTGGTTAAAATGTTCTTCAAAATATCATCTTTTGTGTTCAGCTGAAGAAAGAAACTCATACAGGTTTGAAACAACAACTTTATAAGATTTCCGTTTTGGGGTGAACTTTATTGTTTATGTTTTGCGCAAATTGCGATTAACTTCTCCTTTCAGTGGTTTCGCAGGCCTCTGGGTGAAACGCTCTCGCTGAATGACTTGATACATTATTGAATCTGAAAAACTGGCTGTAATTACAGTTCATCAGACCACGGAGGCATGGAACAAACAGCTGCTACATTTTTTGCACGCTCAGATTTCTGCCCAAACCTTGATGAAGTTAGTTAGACATCATTCGCTGCCAACATGCAGCACTGTGCTTGCGTTTGTGTGACGCTGTGGAGTGGAAATGTTCAAGGGGCGAATTTAACAAACAGTCGTGACATTTTTACACGCAACACGATATTCAGAGCGAAAAACTCGTCTTATTCACTGAGCAAACTGGTTTAATCGGGTGCTAAATGTGCTGCAGTAGTGACACAGCAATTAAGTCGATGACATTCTTTTAAGCGCAAAAGTAGATTAAGTTTATTATAGGTTAACAAAATTCGGTGCAATTGTGCTATTGTAATATTGTAGTAAAATGTAATGTAATAAATAAACAATAATAGTCATATTAAAAATAATAATAATTAATCATGATAAAAAATAATGTTAAGGAATAAAAATAATATAAAAACTATCACAAAAAAAATTACAAATAAAACTGAAAAATATATATTTTTTTAATTAAAATATCTAAAAATATAGAAAATAAATACCTAAAAATCATGTATATATATAATTGTAAGGAGTAAACACAAACACTATCTATAAAAAACACACACAAAAATTTGCATTGAAATATTTATATAGGTAGGAAATCAAATATGAAGTTAAACATAAACATGATTTCAGTGAACGTAACCTATACAGCATCCAACAGCATAGGGAAACAAATGTTATGACCATTATGATGAAGTCATAATTTCTGATTGCAAAACTTTGAACAAAATTTTACTTCTCTGAAGAGAGAGTGACTCTTAAAAAATGCATTATGAGATGCCAGTGCATTATTAATATTATACATGCGGATACTCATGTACTGAAACCTCCTCCTCTGCTCGTCTGAATGGTTAATTAGTTTGAGCTCAGCAATTAAAGCACTGAAACATGCTGGCAGCCAGTATCATGAAAAATTCCCATTACTGTTACAAGCTTTTATGGAAATAGCAATAACATTGCCAATTAAAACATTCACCAACCTTAGACGCTTTCACACCTTATTGTGTTACAGCAACGTATTTTTGAACACAAACTGGATAATGAAGGGAACGAAGAGTCAAGACAATTTACAGGAATATTTAAAATAAAAAATAACATGCAGTTCAACCACATTTGACCACAGTCTGTGTTACTAAGTAAAACCTCCTCAGAAAACATTTTTTAAAATTCTGTATTCATGTGAAATGCACACAGATTCAGACAAATTAATTGCATAATTATGTATTTAATTAAACTAACGTTGCACTGTTTAACGCAATAGAACATTTCTGTAAAAATAAAGGTTCTTCAATGGCATTTTTGGTTCCATGAAGAACCTTTAACATCCATGGAACCTTTAAAGATTATTTATACAGGAAAAAGGTTTAGATTAATAAAATGTTTTTCACAGTTTTTCACTATAAAAATGGTTTGAGAACTGTTGATTGAAAGGTCGTTTGGGGAACCAAAAATGGTTCTTTTACGGCATCACTGCGAAAATCCCCATTTGGAAACTGTTTATTTATTTGGTTGTTTATTTATTTATCTTGTTTTTTAAAGGAAAACTTCACCAAAAAATTAAAAATGGCTGCAAATCGACTCACCCTCAGGCCATCTAAGATGTAGATGAGTTTGTTTCTTCATCGCAACAGATTTGGAGAAATGTAGCATTACATTACTTGCTCACCAATGGATCCTCTGCAGTGAATGGGTGCCGTCAGAATGAGAGTCCAAACACCTGATAAAAACATTACAATAATCCACAAGTAATCCATACGACTCCAGTCTAGCAGTTAATGTCTTGTGAAGTGAAAAGCTGTAATAAACAAATCCATCATCATTGTTTTAAACATAAAAATGTTGCTTCCAGCTAAAATATGTGTCCCCTGTCCAAAATATTGCTTTCTCCAGTGGAAAAAGTCATCTCATTTGAATCAAGAGAGAAATATGCACAGACCAAACACCATTTACAAGCAAAAACAGTTCTAAACAAATATGTTGGTGGATTTTGATGTGAGAGAACAACAGACTTTCCCACTGGTGTTATTATGGATTATGGACTCGTATTTTGGCCAGAAGTGATGGTTTAAAGTTAAAATGCCTTACTGTTGGATTTTTTTATTACAAACACGCAACTTCACAAGACATTATTTGATGGACTTGGAGTTTTGTGGATTATTGAGATGTTTTTATCAGCCGTTTGGACTCTCATTCTGACGGCACCCATTCACTGCAGAGGATCCACTGGTGAGCAAGAGATGTAATGCTACATTTCTGTATTTTTGAGTGAACTATTGCTTAAAAAGTGTAGCTAGGATTTCAGACTGAAGCATAATGTGAACGATACAGACGTTCAACAAAACAGTTAGCTAACTGGTCACAAATCTGACCTTCCCCGAGTTATGTCTTGGGGAAATGAGATATGGAAACTCTGACCCCCTTTTCTAATAAGATTCGCAATCCCTCAGTGGACGAGAGTCCCACATATCTCATCCCCAGATGTTTGTCACAGACAGTGAATATTTTTTATAAGCTCCGAGTCTGTCCTAAACTCCAATGGGAAGCGAAAAAGAGAAGCAGGCCAAAAAAAAGGATGGAAGGAAATAAAAACCGAAAGAGACGTCTTCCTCCCGTGCCCCTTTGAAGTGGGGCGTCACGCGTAGCTGCCACAGTTGGGTAAGAAACGTCCGCATTGCTCAGGAGACTGAAATCTTCCCCCGTAAGACATCGTCTGAAGTGTTTCGCCATAAATTGGCCCACCTAGCTTTGAGGATTTTCCTTTGTCCCTTTCATGTTTGTGCGTTCTCCCGGGATGGCAGCCGACAGCCGAGGTTATGGACGTGGAGTGTAGAGTAGAGGACGAAAGGGACTCCAAAGCGATGTGATCTGGGAATAACAGACAGACAGTTCAAAAACAATCCCAGGAATCTCATTTCTTTGTACATCGGACTGGAAGTCCGTCCTCTGACTGGTCAAAGAACTGGTGCTGGGATTTCGCTTCTTTTGTACTGTGTTCCTGTCTTTTGCTTTTCTCATAGGATTGAGGAATGGCGGAAAAACAGGAATGAAAGTGAAATTCAGGAAATAAAGCGTTTCAAGGGGCCTGCATTGTTTAATTTATTAAGTTAAACACTTATTATTGCTGTTCATTTGGGACATAGTTTATGCATGGTTCCCATCATGCACTCTGTTTTTTTTCCCAAACAGGAGTGGTCTTTCACTACCGTGCGCCTCACGACCGCTACGCGCTGTCCTTCACTGATGCCAAAAGAGTTTGTCTGGAGAACTCTGCCAATATTGCCACACCAGCCCAGCTGCAGGCCACTTTTGATGACGGCTACGACAACTGCGATGCCGGCTGGCTGTCGGACCAGACTGTGAGGTCAGAACAAGAGATTAGTCCGTTTTTGGAAATTGTGCCTTTATATTTAGCATTTACAACATCTTTGATTTGTTTATGTAATTCTGTTCCGTTATATTTAGTGTATTTATAATATTTTATTAAACATTTTAATGTTTATTTTATTTTCAGCATTACAAATGTGACCCTGGACCACAAAACCAGTCATAAGGGACAATTTTTTGAAATTGAGATTTATACATCAGCTGAAAGTTAAATAAATAAGCTTTCTATTGATGTATTGTTTGTTAGGATAGGACAATATTTGGCCGAGATAAAACTATTTGAAAATCTGGAATCTGAGGGTGCAAAAAAAATCGAAATATTGAGAAAATCTCATTTAAAGTCGTCAAAAGGAAGTTCTTAGCAATGCATATTACTAATCAAAAATTAGGTTTTGAATGGTAGGAAATTAATTTTCTTTACTTAATATTCTAATGATTTTTGGCATAAAAGAAAAATCTAAAATTTTGACCCATACAATGTATTTTTGGCTATTGCTACAAATATACCCCAGCGACTTATGACTGGTTTTGTGGTCCAGGGTCACAAATGTCTAGCATCTATTTTATTTTATTTCATTGTATTTTCAACAGAACAAAAGTGCAGTATTTTTGATTGTGTAAATTTATAATATTCAGTAATATTTTCTGTAATTTATTCTTAATAATATTTTATAGAATATTCAAATATTTTATTTTATTTCATTTTCAACGTGACAAATGTCTAATATTTTATCTTTATTCAAATATTTCTAACGCTGTTAAACTGGAAAAAATTAATCGCATGCGTTAACAGTCATTTTGACAGCACTAATATATGTGTGTGTGTGTGTATAGTATATTTATTATATTGAATATTTTTGTTTTATTTTTAACATGATAAATGTCTTCTATTCTTTGTCTTTTTATTTTATTTTAAACCTGAAAAATGTCTAGTATTTTATTGGCTTGATAAATAATATTTTATAGAATATTCTAATATTTAATTTTATTTATTTCATTTTCAACTTATCAAACAATCCAGTGTTTTATTTTTGTGTATCTATAAAATTGTATTGAATATTTTAATGTTTTATTTTATTTCAATATGACAAACCAATAATTTTAGTATATTTAGAATATTTTATTTAATATTTTTATTTTTTGATATGACAAATGTCCAATATTTTATTTTATTTTATTTTTTATTAATTTTATTTTTTTAAATTTTATTATTATTTTTTTTTTAATGACAAATGTCCAGTAATTTTTGTATGTTTAACAACAAGAGCAATGAAGAAAAAAATTACAAGTTACAAGAGTTACAGGTCAATAACAAACTAGTATACAAAGTACATGCTGTAAAGGTTTACTAAGAGACCTTTTGCTTTTCTCTCGAGTCCTTCAATTTTGTGGACGAAACTCAGAAACAAGCATATGTTTGGGAGCAAACAAGTCTTTGAACATGTTTACATAATTCTATTCCCCAGCGAATCTCTAAATCTTCTTTTTAATGTTACTTATAAAACTATCACTTTGTAGATCCGAATGAAATTTTTAGCTGCCGTGCTGATAAATTGGTCCCCCTTGCATGAAACAGAATAGCGCAACTTTCTTCAGAAGGAATCCGGGACTCAAAGCAATTTAATAATCAGCCGTTCTAATTAATCGTAATATCTATTATGTATCGACCGCATTACAACCCCGTTTATTCAGGCTTGCCACCTCCAATCACTTTTCCGTGGCTGAATGTCAGGCGGCTATTGATTTCAACATTCATATCTACCGCATATTGTCAGCTCGTAATTGAGCCGCAAGGCCCGGCCCTCACCGAATAAAAGGGTGAGCGGGTTTTTCCCTCCCTGCATGGAAGAGCTCTAATTGGGCCATCTCCAGAGAAGCTTGGCTACACATCAGTGAAGACGCAAACGTGCAATTAGCGCAAGCGTATGGCGACATCAGAGATCTCTGGACTGGGATGGAATATATGCGGGCTGCTTTAATGGTTTTATATAACTGACTTCAATATTTGGGCTGCGCGAGAACCCCTATCCGCTATTTCTCTTCGGAAACCCTGGAGTGCCGTGTATAATCTCTTAATCAGACTTTAGCCGGCACCCCTGTGCCATCCAAATCGATGCACTTTCCAGTAATTGCACAGTTTATCTTACTCACTCCTTCCCTCCCTGGAAATGACTCCTGGTTTGTTTTGGCTCCTTACCCAGGTATCCCATCCAGTCGCCTCGGCCCGGCTGCTTTGGCGACAGGGAGGACTCACCTGGCGTGAGGAACTACGGCAGCCGAGACCCCGACGAGATGTTCGATGTGTACTGCTTTGCCAACGGCCTGCAAGGTACCGCAGATGCATTCAGTTACAGCTCAGTCATCCAAAAACTGTGTCTTTAAATGTCCTCGTGAGCCTCAGACGGCGGAGATGCATGTACCTGCTCATGTCCCAACTCCCAGAACATCTAAGTAGGTCACCATGCTTTCAGCTCAGCCCTATGGTTTATGCCAGAGCGGGTACAGTTATAACATGCTCTTTTAAAAAAAAAAAAAAAAGTGCACGTCCATTTGTTTCGTGCAGGAGTGACGGTTCTGCCTCCGACTGTGAATTAGTATTCCTGAATGTCTTAAAAGTTTAATGCCTGTCATATTGGTGTAATTTATTCATTTATGTATTTTTACAGAACTTTTGTTTTAATTGATAAAATGTTTTATTTATTTGCGTGTTTATTTATTTGTCTATTTATTTGCGTGCTTATCTATTTGCCTATCCATCCATCCATCCATCTTTGGGTGGACTTATTTAGAATTATTTAGTTTTGTCCTTGTATATTACTGTATATGAACAGAAATTGGATCAGAAGTATAAGAAGTGATTTTTGCCATTGTGGTGGATTTTATGATAAACATTCAGTATTTTATTTAGTATATTTCTAATATTTCATTAAATATTGGTATATTTTTTAATTTTTAACTTGACAGTGTCTAATATTTATTTTATTTTATTTTATTTTTATGCATGACCAACATCCAGTTTAGAAAAAGGAAGATAAAAAAGAAAGCACAGTTTCAAGTATACAAGTGGTACAAGTATGGAACATAAATGATACACAAAGTACATCAATTTAATGTGATATGTAATGTAATGTGTACAAAGTACACAATTAAAAGATTTTAAAATATATTCAAGGCTTTACAAAAAAAATACTTTTTGAAATTTATGAAATTGTTTTTGGACAACTGTTTACATTTAAGGATAAAAATATTGCATAATTTAGCCGTTTTTATTTTATTTTATAGCATGAAAATAATCAAACATAATTTTCGTTTAGAAGCCCTTCATTGTTCATTTTCTTAAAAAAAATCCCACCAAAACAATTTTCTAGAAATACAGTCAAAAATGTACGGAGCCCTGCACATGACATGCAAGAAAAAAAAATCAATCATGTGCACAATATAATAATTTGTTCCCTTTGTTTTACTAAATAGTGCGAAGAACATAATTCGCTCCCTCATTTTACTAAATTGTGTGCACAACATAATTCGTTCCCTCATTTTACTAAATTGTGTGCACAACATAATTCGTTCCCTCATTTTACTAAATTATGCACACAAAATAATAATTTGTTCCTTTGCTTTACTAAATCGTGCACACGACATGATCATGGTCGGATTGTGGTCACAATTTAGTTGAATCAAATCAAGTGAACAAATTATTATATTGTGGGCACAACTTACTTAAAACGAGGGAACTAATTATTAAGTTGTGTGCACGCTTTGCTATTTTCTTCCTGCATGTCATTAGTGGGGCTCTGTAAAAATGAATAAACAATACATTAAATCTCGTTGGTACAAAAAGTACATTTGAAGTTTTTCCTATATTTAGCAATCACCTGTTTTACAGTGTAGATGTGTTAAACAATATTATGAATATATAACCAAATTTAGTTTCTTTATAAAGTTTATTTATAGGTCTCATGTTGCAAACAGCAGAATTCTTATGGGAAATTAGCACTTATAAATAACGCGCACTATCCATCTTTACTCTCTCTAGGTGAAGTGTTTCACACCAGCGTGCCGGAGAAGTTGAGCCTGGCATCTGCTTCCACTCACTGCCACACTCTGGGAGCTCAGCTGGCCACGGTCGGGCAGCTCTACCTGGCCTGGCAGGGTGGCCTCGACCGCTGCGACCCCGGCTGGCTGGCTGACGGCAGCGTGCGTTACCCTATCAACCTGCCCCGGCGTAACTGCGGAGGAGATGAACCAGGAGTACGGACCGTTTACCACAACCCCAACCGCACCGGGTTCCCAGACACTAGTGACCTCTTTGACGCCTACTGCTATCAAGGTTGGTTGAACTACTGGCCTTTCTCTGTTTTGCTACAGGCATATATTCATACAAAGATCTTTTCATCTTTTTGGGGGGTTTCGACCTCAATGATGAGCTGGAGATTTCTTTTTTTACTTTGAGAAGTTTCATTAAAAATTCTCTTACATCCCGTCTACATAATTTTGGAGCATACTTCCGAATAATTTATCAAGAGATTCACCCTTGTGTCAGGAGTATCTGAAAAATGTATGAAATGAGGATTAGGTTAAATTCGTATTACGGACTTCTGTATGGATATCTGCTTTGTAGTTTTATCTGTCAATGCCGCCATTAACAAGACTATCTTCCTCTTTCAGAGAAGAATTTCGAAGAGCAGGCGGTGATACTCCACAAAACCCTAGAAAACTCCAATTTGAACTCTTCAAGCGAAGAAGAGGTGCCGCTCCAAAGAAACGGAGCCTTCCCTGAACCTTCAACTTGGACCGGTCTGGTCGATCTCGAGAAAGAAGACTTCAAGTCCATCATAAACAACGAATCTTCTGAAATCTCAGAGGAGCATGTTGTAATCCATCTTGGACCTGAAGAAAGGTCTGTAGAATGGGAAGACGATGCTGTGGAGAAGCAGGAGAACCTTCAAGGGGGTTCGGCGAAAGAGGAGACCGATGATTCAGATGGTCCCGATGATTCAGATGGTCCCGATGTGTCTCCTGACCCGTCTTCAACCACGCCATCTTCCTCTACGCAAGCTCAGACCAGCAACAGCGTCATTTCCAACTTTGTGAACACAATAATGAAGCCATTTAGGTACTGGACTGGGACTGGGGAACCTGCGATACCGGCCACAGAGTCCAGCCTCTACAGAGGAACCTCAGAAATGGTCCCACCTGCCAGGACGAAGCCAAGTAGAGAGAAAACAAGCAAAGTTGGTGCTGATAACGCCATCGTGGAACCTAATATCAAGGAATATTCATACAATCCCTCCTCGTCAGATCCAGAAGAAGAACTCTTGGAACAGGAGAAAGAAGTGGTCTTGGTGGCTGCACAGCAGGAGATAAAGAGTCCAAGCAATTCTTATATGGATCATCCATATTCACAGACCTTCACAGACAGCTTCACTGGACCAACCAAAGGTACAACACACTCATCCAAAGCTTAATAGAATATTAAGCATGTACAATTACACTAGACCATGCAGCTCCTCTTCTTAATTGAAGTTTGTGAAGTAGGTGAAGCTCGTGCTTAATTTAGTTGAAGTAAGACTTGATTACATTTTGTATTATTTTATACTTGGTTTATGTAGAACTGGGTGATGTGAAACCACAAAAGTGAGTTTCCTCTATTATAGATTTTTGGCCAAGAAGTCAATCTTTCAACCAAGAGGTCAATCTAATGTTTATTGGTCAATAGATGGGTGTTTCTTAAAGGGGTCATATGATGTTGCTAAAAAGAACATTATTTTGTGTATTTGGTGTAATGAAATGTGTTTATGTGGTTTAAGGTTCAAAAACACATTATTTTCCACATACTGTACATTATTGTTTCTCCTCTATGCCCTGCCTTTCTGAAACGCGTCGATTTTTACAAAGCTAATCGTTCCGAAAAGCAAGGTGTGCTCTGATTGGCCAGCTATCCAATGCGTTGTGATTGGCCGAATACCTCAAGCGTGTGACGGAAATGTTACGCCCCTTACCATGCTGTGATGCCGTGTCCCGGTGCGACGAGACAAAAACATTTAAACCCATTATAAACTAGGCATTTGTTTGCATCCAGTGGGGATATAATTATGGATTATAATGACTTATACTGTCTTTTTACGCGTTGCGTTGCATCGCGCCATGTAAACATAAAACCATGTCTGCATTTGTGATCGGAGAAACGACAAACAACAAGCGCTACTCTACACTGCTCAAAACTTGCGTTAGAATCATCAGTGCCCAATTCTTTTAATATAAAAACGTACTTACAGACTGTGAGTCAGAACAGCCGGCTTCCAGGATCAGGAAACAGTCCTCCATAAAATGCGCTGCACACATCTGAATATCTGGGTTGAACTGTTCTGGAACAGTGTTGTAAATACAACTTAACCACTGATTTCTAGTCGTGTCCTCTTTTGGAAGACCAAACAAAGTATTTTTGCTTTCGCAACGAAACACACAGTGTCTTCACAACATGGCAGCAACAATAAAGTTATGTCTTCTTTCTTTGCGTGAACATTTGGGTGGCATTATGCAAATCGTCCCACATCGTGACGTAGACATGTGGGGGCGTGTTTGAACGAGGCGTTTTAGGAGGGCGTGGACGAGTCTTAACTTTTATAAAGAATATCTCTTTAGGTTTGAGACTTTAGTCTTTGCAACTTTAGAGATCTTATCTATTCACGAACAGCTTATAACACTCCAAAGAGAAAGGACACCTTGAAATCGCATCATATGACCACTTTAAACTTCGACCATTAAATTACGTCTATATCTAATTTGTGGCAGCATTACCTCAAGACGGTGCATATTTGTTAGTGGACAAATAAAGTGTGAAAAGTTGTTCATGTCCAAAAGTGCCAATGGTTGAAGAAGCACCAATGAAAGGAAGTGAACAGAGAAAAATAAAATCATGTATAAAAAAAAAAGTTTTTATCCATTGTAAATTAGTGGAAGGACATATTTTTGGTATTTCTTCAGCTGAATCCAAGTACACATTTCAACACTGAATGGACTGTACTTTTAACCCTCATAGTGTGGCTTTCAGTGTGGCAAATCAGATATGGTGCAAAGATAAATGCCCTTGGCATACTATGTCCTCCAACAGCTTGCTGTTTATTTTTTCATTGTTTTGAAAGAAAAACAAAATGTCAGCAAATGGTTCTTCAGGCACAGGCGCCGAAGAGGAAGGTTGCCGACACGATTCGTTCTCTGGAATACAAAAGTGGGAGGGTCGCTGTAGAGGTCACAGCACTGAGATGTATTCCTGCCTCCGGCTCTAGGGCTTTTAATGGATATCAATGTCTGTCATATCTGTGCCAAGTAAAGCAGCATAGTAGGAGAAAGCAAAATGGGATCCAACCTCTGAAAATTTAGTGTTGCGAGCCTTAGGCTGAGAATGAAGCATGTCTAACTGGTGTGGTTTTAGCGCGATGGGTTTTGGCAGCAGTCCGTTCTCAAGGCATCATCAGTACAAATATCCTCCCTGCAAACCAAATTCAACAGGGAACATTAATGTTTAATGCCGGGTGAAAATCCAGCTTTAGTCAGCATGCATTATTTACATCAGAATCTAATTAATGTGCTTTGGCCAAAACCGCAGGCACCGCTACAAATTCCAAGTCTCTCCCAATTATACGAGGCGTGATCATCGTCAGGGCCATGGAGTGTGTGCGTAAAGATACTCCGGACTCAATCTGGCTGTTTCCGTTCATTTTTCCTCCAGCAGAGGTCATTTAGTCGAGTTCGGATTCACTGGCTATTTCACCCTTCGCTGCATGCTGCTCCGTCTCTCCCTTTGTTTCGAGTTTCATTGCATAGAGCCTGTTGAGAATTCAGAAAACCCTGCCATCTTTTATATAAACTCACCATGTCCTTGAGTTCCACAAAATATTGTATATTGTATAAATGTGTGCTATGAAGAAATTCTCTGAAATGCATACGTGCCATAGAACAACGTGCTTAAGTATCCGTTTTGTTGAGTGTCCAGATACTTGAGCTTTATTTACCCTGTTTAAGGGGACACTTAAACCACAAAATGCATGAATGTCATTGCATTAGATACAAAATATCAAATCAAGTGGCAGTTAATCTAAAGAAAAATGTTTTATACATGTTAAACTAAAAAGCTAAACCCTATGGTTTAGCTATGGAACCCTGTTTCTGCCTCAAAGTAAAAAAAATCTCTCAATATGTAATGTGGGGTTTGGGTTTTGTTTTTGTTTCATGTTCATGTCCATGTCCATGTCTTTTATTTTGTAATTGTTTCCTGATGTTAGTGTCATGCTTCCCTTGCCTCATGTCTCTCTGCCTTGGTTCATGTCAAGTCTGTTCATGCCTCATCAAGTCTGTTCATGTCAAGTCAAGTCTCGGATTATTGTTTGGATGTTTGGATCACACTGTAAATAAACTGCACTTGGGTTCTTCACTACTCTCGCCTTCAGTGGACTGATTCATTACACAATTGTAACTTTGTCTCATATTTGGTATTTTTTGTCTTATAATTGAGAATTTATGTATCTCACAAACCTTATATCACATTTTTCAATTAATATTTCTTTATATTATCTACTCTCCTGACTGATTTGTTAAATCTCCTTATTGCAACTTCTTTTCCTAATTACAACATCTTCTTCTGAATGCAATGTTATATCTCACAATTGTGACTCTTTTATCCCAATTGTGATATTATATCTGACAGTTTTGATTTTATATCTCATAATTGCAACTTTAGTTCTTCTAACTGCAACATTGTATCTCCAAATTGCGACTTTTTGTTTTATAATTCGGACTCTCCCGAATGCAATACTTTCTTCCAATTGTGACATTATATCTCGCAATTGTGACTTTTTGTTACAATTCCGACTTTATATCTCATTATTGAAACTTTTTTCCCAGTTGCAACATCTTCTAAATGCAACGTTATATCTTACAATTGCAACTTATTATTCCAATTGCGATATTTTATAATTGCGACTTCTTCTGAATGCGACTTTATATCTCAGAATTTCGACTTTACATCTACCAATTGCAAATTTATGCCTCTTGGTTGTGACTGTCTCACATTTAAACTTTCAAAATTGGGATTTTGCATCTCCCAGTTTGGATTTTTTTTTTTCTCCCAGTTGCAAATGCATGTCACACAGTTACGACTGTTTATCTCATAAGTGTGACTTTGTATCTTACAGTTGCAACTTAATAGCTTACAGTTATGACTATTCATATTTGGAACTATATATCACAAAATGCAGCTTTGTATCACCCAGACTAAAAACCACCTTGACACTAGCTGCTTAAAAGTAATCGCAAAAATGGATATAAAAAAGGCAGCAGCTATTTGCACTAAGTGCAAATCGCTATAGATTCTATTTACACTGTTAAAATAGCAAGATTTTCTGCTATTTATACTACTTATTGCTAATAGTGGCAATTATCTGCACCTCAGTATTGTAGTACATTATAAAACAGTACGCAATAATAACGTTTAGTGTAAATTATCATTTTAATTCAAATTATTAAATTAATGCCACCTTATTGGGACAATAAAGCCCTCCCTACACCTACCCTAACTCTACCCGATACTTTATTTTCAACTCATTTTTATTGGAAATAAATGCCTTTCTGATGCGATATGAGATTTGAAAAGGGAGAAAAAATGTTTGGCAAAAGGCGGGTTGCCGGGTTCGATCGCTTCAAAAAGCATGCACCTTACCATCTACGCCACTGAAACTGATGTTTAAGGAGCGTTCTTTCTCAGTGTTGACTATCCCAATCACACGCTGGTGGGTGGAGTTAGTGTAAATAGCCTCTGCCAACAAGGCGGGCTATTTGCACTTAGTGTAACTAGACACTCTGATAAAAAAATCCCTCACAGCTTTTGTGTGCAGATGTCACTTGGTTTGATCTTGCTCCAAATACTTTACATTATGTGGGTAATTGTCCCACTATTACAGTACATCCAGGTAATTGGTAGAATCTATTTAATTTCCTGTGACTGCAGAGAGTAATCAGTTATTCATATTATTAATTGCTCAATTACTTGGTTATGTAAATTGCACCACATCCATGTGACACCGCAACAGCAGAGACTTGAATAATTCATTATTGTTTCATATTTCATTGTGTGTACTGAACATATGGTCTGTGAATATCTAAAACGGCCTAAATGCTAAACACTGCTTGTTTCCTTTAAGGCAAAGCATGTTACCTGAGCAGATATATGAATTATCCATGCACACAGTAAATACTTAAGCTAAACCAAATATCTCTTCCACACAGCCAGTGAAACCTTTGTTTAGGATTTGGTTTAGCACCGTGTACTGCAGCATGCTGAGTCACTTAATAATAATAAGTCTAGTGCTTACGGTGTTTTTACTTTATTGCGCTCTGAATTAATACCTACATACATCATGAAGTAAATCAAGACCTTTTTGCTTCTTGAACATAAAGATTTGGGTCTTATTTTGTCTAGATTTACTGTTAGAAAGCATTGGGAATTAACGGCACCGGACAGGAGCATGATGTACGAGTTCTTTGTGCCGGGGCAACATAAAGAAAAAGAGCCTTATTACCTGGATTGCTTTCAAAACGAATGTACATTTCATCCCCGTTTCACCCAGGAGTCAAATATTACCCTTTGGGAAGAGAATAAAGGTCATTTTAGCTACGCTTGTAGCTCATTTTTGATTAAAAGATAGGTGTGTTGAGACCGATAGATTAATTGCTGGATATCTCCAGGGCATTGACGGATAAATAATGACAGTTCTATATCGAGCCGCACGCATTAAAGTTAATTACCATAGTTCTGGGGCGGGAGTTAGCATATTTTGCTCGCTAATTAAACATACATTTAAATGAAACGATCTCCTCCCTCACTCCATTAATCACAGTGTTTTGTCATCTCTGCAGGAGCTATTAGATCAGGAACGGCGGATCCGACTCTTTCTTCGGCACCTAAGAGCTTCGGTTCCATGAGGAGCAGCCAACAAATTTTGCCGCTAAAGTCCTTGAAAGTTGCCCCAAGCAATAATAGGCATTTCATAACTCAAACAAGCAGTCCCATGGAAGCCAAAAGAGACAGTTTGGAGATCATGACCATTCCTGTTTCCAGGAACAACCCTGAGAACTTCTCCGGGGAAGGGAACGACTTGAACGAGGATGGTTACCCTATTCCCAAAGGTCCTCTGTCACCGTTATCTACAGAGGAAGAAAAAGATGGCGAGGGAAGTGGAGGGAAGGAGTTACAATTCACCCACCAAATGAATGGATCCGATGACCACGGAGTCCCGCTGGAGACCACTGTCAGATGGCAGCTTATGAGTCTCCAGACGACTCAACCTACTAGTGAACCCAAGCATGAGAAACCAGCCGACACGGTTGAGGAAGCCAGGGGGGAAATCATGTACGTCCATCGCCCCATTGAAAAACACAAGAACAATCCCTCGAATAAAGTCAACGTGCCTTTTGTTAAACGGAAGCAAGACCTAGGGTTGACTATTGCACCGGAAACACACACTTCCAACACACCTACCACACCAAGCCCTGGAGATCCCAACGAGGACAAGCTAGCAATTCAACCACCAACCGTAGGAATCACTCCTTCCCAACCTGGAGAAGAAACCACTACCGAAGACATTTTGTGTACTCCGGATCCAGCCGTTTCCAGCACGTGGTTACCTGTGGTTCAAGAGGAGGTAGATACTCCACAACCACCGGTTCCTACCATAATAATGACGCAAGCTGGACCTACGGTTCTGCCGACTAGTCCAGGTCCAAAGGACACTTCCCAGCAGGCTGAGTCCAGGTCAGGAGGGTCAGAGTCATTTGTGTTGGCTCAGGGCTGGATAACATCTGAAGCAGTTCCAACAGAGGAACCTTCATCCCAGACCACAGGAAAGACAGAGAAAGACACAACTGTGGCTGGGAGTGAAAACAGCCCCTCCAGAACTTCAGGTAAACCGCTCTTCAGTTGCGTTCTGTTGATATGAGAATCTAAAGGCCTGTTTACAACATGAAAGATACGAAATGCAGTAACACTTTAGTTTAGGTACCAATTCTTACTATTAACTAGTTGCTTATTAGCATGCATATTACTAGCATATTGCCTCTTTATTAGTGCTTATAAAGCTTTAATGCCTTGTTCCGCATGACCATTTTTTACATCCCTTAATCCTACCATATAGCTAAACTTAACAACTACCTTACTAACTATTAATAAGCAGCAAATTAGGCGTTTATTGAGGCAAAAGTCATAGTTAATAGTGAGAATTGGTTGCCAAACTGAAGTTTGACCTGAAATGCTTTGAGAGAGCTTACTTGGGTTTGTTTATTTGTTTCATTTTTACTCCGCTTCATTCTTTTGTTATTTTCTTCATACTTTTATTCCTGTCTTTCATCTTTAATAGTTTTTTTTCTTTCCTTCTTTAGCCCTTCTCTTTCATTCTTTAATTTTCCATTCTTTCTAATTTGTTCTTTATGTTCCTATACATGTCTTTTGTTTTCTCTTTCTTTTCTTAAATTTTTTTTTTTTTCTTTTTCTTACATTCTTTTCGTTTTTCTTTTCTTTTTCAGTTATGTCTTTCTTATGTTCTTTCTTTGGCACGGTATTGTTTTTTTTATTCTTTCCTGCTTTCATTTGTTATTTTCCTTCCATTCTTTCTTTATATCATTCTTTCATTTGTTCTTTCTTCCATTCTGTCTTTCCTTCTTTTTTCATTAATTAGTTTATTCTTTTAGTTTATTTAATTTCTTTTTGTTATATTTTTCCTTTTTCTTTCCTTTTATTTGCACTTTTTTTGCTCTTTTCTTTTTCTTTTTTAATCTCATTGTTTTTCTCAATTTATTTTTGTTTTTGTTCTTTCATTCTTTTGATATTTTTCCTTCATTATTTTTCCTTCTTTTGCCGCCTCCTGCTCTTTAATTTTTGCTTTTTCTGTTTGTTTTTCATTCTATTATTTTTGTTTATATTCCTATTATTATGTAGTTATATTCCTTTATTTTTCATTTTCTTTTATTCTTTATTTTGACTTTTCTTTGTTTTGTCCATTCTGTTATTTCATTTTTTTTGTTATTTTTCTTCCATTATTTCTTTTGTTCATTCTTTATTTTCTTTCTTCAGTTCTTTCCATCATTCTTTCACTCTATATTTCTTTCTTTTGTTCTTTTTTCATTCTTTCGATCATTCTTTATTTTGCGCTTTTTTTTGCTTTTTTTGTGCTTTCTTCCTTTTTTTGTTTTTCTCCTTATGTCTTTCATTCTTTATTCTTTATTTCTTTTTGTTATTTTATTTCTTTCCACTTTTCGATAATGTGTTTATTTCTTATTTTCCTTTATATAATTTTATTCTTATTCTTTTGGTCTTTCCCTTTCTATTTTGTTTTTTCATTCATTCTTCCTTTCTTCCGCTCTATATTTCTGTCTTTTGTTCTTTCTTTCTTTGCGTGGTAAACAAAGAAATGTATAGCTGCAGCCTCAGAGTAATTAGAGGGTTAGGGCCAGTGCAATTAGAGAGTCTCGCTAAGGCAGAGATCTTAGTCTAAAACAAATCAATGTTGACAGAAGCCAGTAGATGTGTTCAGTAATTGACTCCATTCTCGCTCTAGTCTATATGCATGTTTAAACTGGTGCCGTATACATAAGCTCAACCTCCCCTTGTTCAAATCGATTTCTTGGGGTAGGAGTTTCCTAGGGTGCAAGACCTCAGAAACACACTTCAGCAAACAAAATAATGATCTTGAAAGCAGCTCTAGTAGGCCTCTGGCATAGAATAAATGTAAACAGATGGGCATCTTTAAGTATACAAAACACATAAAAGAATGAATCATTTAACCCAGACCATACAGCCCGAATGAGACATTTTACAGCGTTTGACGCATGTTTCTGCAGCATAAAGTACGTAACTACAGATCAAAAAGGTTTTTCAAGGTAAGATTTTGTCTGTCTGCTAAATGAATCATTGCTGCAGAGCTTTGACTGTTTAGCATATAAAAAACGATGAAGAACTTCGAAATGCACGGAAAAGACGAGACAAAACTGCTGCTAAACAACTGTTTTCAACTGACAGAAAGAAACACGCATTCGAGCAGATTTTTTGCCTGAGGATTTCCTTCCAAAAACCCGGTTGCTTTTGAGCACAAAGAGCAGAGAGTCCTGTTTGTCCTCCTTTTCCTGCAGCGCAGGTGGAAGTTCATAAGCCTTTTTAATCAATGATCTGCCGGTGGAGAGGCTGCTGTTCTCTGCCTCTCCCCCGAGGCCCTTTAGGCATCAGAGAAGTGGTTTTTGAAAAATAGCCGCCGTCACGGTAGTCATAACACCAGCACTAGACCGGCTTGCCCTTAATTAGAGAAGCACCTCGCTCTGCGATAAGACGAGGAGGTGCTGTGTCTTACGCGACTTTGCTGTTCCATCACTCTCGCTGACATGGCTTGGAGCTGTTTGCACATGGAAACAGACATGTTCATCGCTCTTTGTAAGACAGACAGGTGCAGTGTACTCATTCACACACACATACTACATACACTGTCACAAACCCACCCAATTTCTGAGCAGGCCAATAATAATAAGTAATACATTTTACTTCGATTTTTTTTTTTAGTTAAATTTATTTTTAGTTAGTTTTATTTCATTAGATTTTTCTAAAATGTAAATATTTTAATTTTGCTGAAATTTTAATATTTAATTTAATTTTAGTGAAGCAGGATACACATTGAAGCATGTTTATCTGTCTTTACACAGTGGACTTAACACACTATATGCGCTCTTACAGGCCCACACTATTTCTATTGTGCAGGTGATTTTATTTTATTTTATTTTATTTTAATATTGTTTATTTTTTTTTATTTTTTTTTTCCGAAATGGTAGTATTTAATTTAATTTTAATAAAACATGATGCACATGTAAACAGACAGACAGTCTTGAACGTGCATTTTACATGTGCTCTCTCACACACACACACACACTACACTCTTACAGACCCACGCTATTTTTTATTGTTAATAACTTAACATATTAATTTATTTTATTTTATATTATATTTTGTTTTGTTACTATAAACATTCTTACAGACTCATGCTATTTTTATTGCAGGGGTTAATAAATGAATTATGTACTGTAATTCATTTTACTCAGATTTTTATTTTATTGTATTTTATTTTATTATTCTATTTTTATTTTATTATTTTAGTAGATTTTGTTTTTCTTTCTTTTTTTTGTTTTTTTTTATTTGAATTAAATTTTTTCATTTTGCTAAAATTGTCATACTAAATTTGATTTATTTTGCTGAAATGTTCATATTTAATTTAATTTTAATACAGCATGATGCACATATAAACATACATTTTCGCATTATATTTTTTTACATCGATATGCATTATTGAATTGTATTTTAAATTAAATTATATTTTAATGTTTTATTTTACAGATATGTTATTATTTAATTTAAATAATGTTTTTATTTAAAATATTTTAAATATTTTAAAATACAAAAGTATTTCAAAATATCTCAATTTAAATAGTTTTGAGACTTGCCAATTATTAGGTTTCACATATATCGCATAGACTTGGTCGGCATTGCTGGGAACGCCCAGAAAAACGTCATATCCGTTTATGCCGTGGGGGAAAACAAACCATTCAAATTAACATGCAGAGACCCTGTTAGGCACTTGATCTTTACTCTTTGTTATGATTTCTATTTTTTTTTTCTTGGTGAAATGCCAAAAAGTTGCTGTGTGGCGTTCTGCACCTCTAATAAGCTAAAAAAAAAAAAGATCTGTAGATTTATATACTGCCGATTAACAAACGGAGGTAGCACAATCTGAGCGGGTAGCACAAATCATCAGAACACCGGCAAGGAGAACAGTAGTTATGGATATACAATGAAACATATCAAGCTTAATATTCAGGGTTTGAAATTAACTTTTTCACTCACCAGTCAATTTGGCTACTACATTTTTAAGTTACCGGCCATTCATAATTTCTACTAGCCAAAAAAATTAAACAAATAAATTATGAAAAAAAGGCCAGCGGTAAGCCAACAGCTTAAGGCTATCCACACTGGATGCGACAAAGTGACCATTGCAAATCATTTGGCGGAAGCGCAGCGCTGTGCGGGAGACTGATCCCGCTCTGTTTTAACGCGCGGCTGGCGGATGCGCCGGGTAGCGCCGCTTCACACTTTTGGAGTACTTGCTTTTTGCAGTTTCGCGTGGGCTGTAATTTAAAAACAGCGCCTAATATGAGGTCTCCCTCGCTTCGGCGATCGACCCACCGGGAATGTCCCGGTGCTCCCAATGGCTAGTAGCTACATGGCTGGGTATGTTCAAGTAAGCAAGATGCCCAGATGCTGCGCAATTAGGCTTATTTAATATATCATGATGAGTCTCGAGTTCAGTATTTACACTAAATCTGTGCAGATTTGGCTTACATGAACTTCCTCAAGAAATTAATTAGTAAACATAATTTACGAAAAGTAACCCGCCAAATTGGCTAGTGATTTGACAGCGTTACCCGCCACAGCTGATTTTTACCCGCATTTGGCGGGTTGGCGGGTGTTAATTTCAAACCCTGTTAATATTCATATTCATATGCACTCCAGATAGGCTACACTACTTACCCTGTAATGACCTGTCATTACAGTCCCGTCCCCCTGCACCACAACCCAGGTCTAACCCTCCTTGTTTTCACATCACAACGAAATAAATGTCATACTCATACCTATTAAAACATTTATTTCATATTATTATAAACAATCCTTTTATGAAAATTAACAATGGTTTTACTATAGTAAATGCGTAGAAGGCTAACCATGTATTTTGAGAGTTTTTATTACCAATTGTAGCCTATAACCACAGTTTTACTACAAATACCATGGTTAAACTATGGTTAGTGTAGCAAAACCATGGTTAATTACCATGGTTTAACTATAGTAACCATGTTTTTGTTTTTTTGGTTGTAGT